CCCCAAAACCCCAAAACCCCAAAACCCCAAAACCCCATAAAGGGTGAGGACATAGTTAACATTAAATTAATATATCACAACAAACATGATTGACGGAAAGTACAACTTGAAAAATTTAATGGGCATTGGAGGCTCATCCAGAGTGTACTCCTGTCTTGACACGACTGGTAAGTTATTTTATTATGGTTGCTTTCTTAGAACAAGTTTTGATTAATTCTGATCAGGTTTAATAAGGTGTCCGGATGCCTAATTTGTGTTGAAGCTTTTATTACATAGTATCAAAAGAGGCTCTACTGATAGTGGCTAGTAATTAATGTCAGCTTGACTTTTCCTTTCCCTACTACCCTCTTGTATATCAAGAATGTGGGGTTTTCAAGACTCATAGGCGTGTAAAAGTATCCTTAATAGGCTTTATTGATATTTAGTAAACTTTAGTACATTTCTATATCTCTTCAGCAAATGTTAACTTATGGCTAAAATTATTGCACTATATCTCTCTTTTGGGTTCAACCAAGCTAAATCACCCTTTTCCTGCTTCCTGCTCTTGGTTGGTGAACTGTCTGATCGGTACATTATGAAGGGTTGAAAGGGATTTTCCAAAGAGTTACGAATTTCTGTGAAGGCCTGACAAAAGAACATTCTTTGTTTTCTGAAGGTTTGAGCAGAAAAGTATGGACACTGTATTTTATCTCTATAAGAGAACAGTCATCCAGGATTTGCCTAATTTGTTTACACTCTTATAGTTTAGAGTGTTTGTGGCCCTCTTTTATATTTATTAGCCTGGAAAGATCCGAGAGTTCTTGTTTGTCATTAGTATTGTGGGTTGGATACTTGAAGAAAATTCGGAAAATACTGAAGTTATGAACCTTTTCAGAATAGAAGATCTTCAAACCTGATCACCAAGAAAGATTATGTGACTTAGTTTCTGATTTTTATATATTTCAACATGCTCCAACCAGTGGTTTGGAACAGGATTCTTGACAAATTCATTTTACTACATATTCTATTACATCATAGTTTCATTTTACTAGTAATCCTAGCCTCACCAAATGTGCTAATGAATTTTCTGTTGGTGAACCTCCAAGATTTATTATTTTGCTCAGTTTTGCCATTTACAGTATTTTTCCTTTCATAAAGCGTGATCAGAAAAATTGAACCACTGATATTAAAGATCTTCATGAGATTTTAGCAAATTTAAATCAGTTTACCGTGATAACCATGCAACTTTTTAATTGTCCACAGACTTGGTTAATAGTTAAGTAGTCTGAAGTTAAGTTTTAGTTAGCCTATCTCTAATTCGTCTATACCTAACAAAGCTAGTCTATTATAAACTTTTGATAGTCCAGTTTAAAATTTTTGAAACTGGCAACTGAAGATCTTACGAAATTAAAATTCATGAATTATTTCCACCTATTATTCGTTTTTATTAATTTTATTCATAGATGGTCAAGAGTATGCGATTAAAGTAATCAGAAAGGACAAAGGATACTCTAATGAAGTCTCAACGAGAATTGTAGAACTAGAAGCAAACACTATGATCAACCTTGGTGAACACCCAAATCTGGTCAACTTTGTAGATGCTAATAAGTCTCATTGTTGCTATAAAAAGTTGAACAGTAAAGAAGGAATGAATGAAGATAAGTATGTAACAGTCAGAGAAGAGATTAATTATTTGATCCTCGAGAAGTGAGAGAATGGATCTCTTTCCAAGTATGTCAAGACCACTGGACCTTTTGATGAGCTTGCAGCTAGATTCTTGTTCACACAGTTATGTGGAGCAGTACATTTTATGCACTCCCAGGAGTATGTTCATCTTGATATTAAGCTTGACAACATCTTATTGGATAAATATTTCAATTTAAAGCTTGCAGATCTTGGTATTGCTCTCTGTTCAAAGGGAACAACTAAGCTCTTAGCTCATAAGAGAGGAACTAACAAGTATATGGCCCCAGAAGTAGCCAACGCTAGCTCTAAGAGACCATACAACGTCTTCGGTGCAGACATTTACTCATTAGGTGTCTGTCTTCATTTAATGTTATTTGGAACTTATCCAATTGCAGATGGAGATTCAATGATGTCAACAGATGATGAAGTTGATGGATCTCCCAGGCAGAGATTTGAATCATTCCCATTCTTGGACTCTACCTCCTCAGAACTAGCATCTTATCTCTCTGAAGATTGCTTAGATTTGATCGAAAAGATGCTCAGCCAAGATGCTTCTAAGAGACCTAACATTGAGGAGATCTCCAACCATCCTTGGATGACACAAGAATTCCCATCTCAAGTTGGAGAAATTGTATATTCAGAGTTGCACGAAAGATTCAACCACTTAAAATCATTGGTTGCTGGTTCGTCACCTTCCTTCTCCATTGACTTGGAATAAAGGTGGACTCTGACTCTCCATTAATGCTCTCTAGCAGGGCGATCGTAATTTTAAATAAATCTTTTTGAAACTTGGCCTTTCACTTGGGAAATTTAGGACTTCATCGTACTTTTTTGAACAATAGAGAAAATTTGGTCGGGGATTCTCGAACATTTTAAGTGAATTTTTGTAGCTAATTTCTTGGGCTATGGGTAATGGATTGAGAGATGCTAGGATATTCATAGTGGTTATGTATGGTCAAGATGCTAGGAAAGCGATCAAGAGAGCCACTTGGGGGTAGACAGAGTAATAATTCGTCGAAATTACTCTAAAACTACTAAAAATCCTATTTTAAGGATTTTGAGCTCGAATATGCTTCTTTATATTCTTTAGTAAGCACATCTACATCAATTACTCTAATTATAGCTTTAGATAATAGAGACCAGGGTGATATTGTAAGAAATCACTCGAAATTAGAGGAAAGTTATTCAAAGATTCATGAAATAATGAATCATTCTTCGGTAGAAGTTTTAGGTGACAAGACGTTCTGGATCTGCTAAGAAGAGCAAAACCCAATCAAAACACATTCAAATTTTGGTTCATTGAGAGTGAATAATTTTAGTATTCCTACTCATCCAATAGAAGCTTGGGATGAAGGAAAGATACAGCTCTATCCATGCTAGATTTCTCGACTTTTAAATTTTGATTACCTTGCTCTCCTAGCGTCTAAAGAGGAGACAAAGATAAATAAAAACAGACAAAGGCAGAAATCTAATGTGGGAACATTCAAGTCATTTCATCTAAATGTAAAGATTTTCTCTGATCAAAGAATCTTCAGAACGATTTTTGTTCTAACTGGAATTTAGAGAAAAATGATGACACTCTTGCTAAAACATCAGAATTCTTACCTAACATGAGCACAAAGAGGTATGACTCGGTTAGGCTTGGTTGCACTATTTTATAATCAAACTCTCAGCCAATATTTTGGTTACTGTCAATAGCCGTTGGGTGTCAGGGTTTTATCAAGATACTGAAAACTCATTGGAGAGGAGATCTTAGAAGATGCTGGCGGCTTATTTGGGCTAAAAGACTAAGATTGAAGTTATCCACTCTCTCTCCGATAGCTTTCTTGAACAAATGAGCATGGTTTAACGATACTCAAAAGATTGCTAAATTGTCTTGCTTCTAATGTGGTGATGCTAAACTATGATTCCCATGTAAGATATTTTATATCCAAATTTTTTAGAAGAATTGATGTGCTAGGCAGAATAGCAAATATTTTGGCTATTTTAGTGTTTGTTTCATGATAGTGACTGGTTAACCCTATTTTTCATTTATCCAAAATTGTGCTATTTCAGCTATATACGAGAATAGAGGGGTTTTGGGGTTTTGGGGTTTTGGGGTTTTGGGG